TGCGGGCGAGAGTTTAAGAACACAGACGTTTTTATCTCAACTACACCTCAGCTTGGTCGTTTTGTCCTCGAACACTTCTTTCGTTGATGTAGAAAAACAACGTAAAGTACGTAAGCAAACATCGGAATTTCTGCTTCGTTTTCATCAAATATTAGCTTGTTTCTTTAAAAGCAGCAGCTACGAAGTTGCAGGTAGCAAAATGTCCCATTTCTCTTTTAACAATCTCAACCACTGGGAGAGCTCGGTTTTACGATTCTGCTGTTAGACAAAAAGAGAAGACTTTGTAAGGTCGTCCCTTCTATGGGTGCGCTAAAGATGCTCTGGAGTTGATCTACAATTTTGCACAAACCGCGGAAAGTTCATTTTTGAAGTGTTCAAAATCACATGCCAATTTAATTTATCTATCGTTTATTCGTTGACCGTAACGACTGCTGACCGCGCGGCGACCGCTGCGCGTGCATGATGTTTTCGTAGAAAAGATGAATAGAAAGAAAACAGAGGATTTTTCTCATCTTTATAATGTAGAAAAGAAACAAAGAATTCTTCTCATCTTAAGCCACGGTCCAACTTGTCACTTTTTCGCAAGTTTAGAAGGCACGCGTCGCAGTCGCCACGCGGTCGGCAGTCCGTACGGTCAACGAATGAACGATAATGGTTGTTTTATACATGCCATGCTTGCGGGATATATGAGGATAATTAAAAATATAAATAAATTTGGAAATCATAATTATCTCTGGTCATATCTATCAAAAGCTTACATGATGAACAAATCCCAAAACAATAATCTGAGATATAAACTAGACTTTCAGGCTTTTTCAACTAAATTCTCGAGAAAAAACGATTTTTGTTATTGATTTGGCAACTCGTATCGCAATACTATGTCGACCTCTTAATAAGACATAATCTTTCCTCTCCGAAAATCGTCAAGCTTAACAAATTTTTCAATCGAACAAAATTTCAAATTTTTAATCATTTTGGGGGAAGACATGGATCAACTTGATACATGCGATGATGAAGAGGTAGTCTAAAAATAAGCTCAACTGCCCCCAAGGACAAGCTTTTGAAAGCACAGCGTTATTTTTGGAGAACTTTGTCACTAGAATACTTTTTCATAAATATTCAAAGAGGGTTGTTCACCAATTCACGACCACCAAGGAGGCTCGGACAAGGTGCAAGTTAGATGGAAATTAGGTGCGAATGTTGGGTGCGAAGTCTATAAACGTTTGAAAATTTCTTCCACTTTCCCCTTCTGCTTCTCTTTGCACCAAATCATCTAGAAAACTTTGGCACCAAATCATCTAGACGTATGTAGAAACTCAAGTTCATCGTTGTTCATCAAGGTAGGAACAGTAATTGTTAGAGTAACACCTCTTGCCAAAGGTGACCAGTTAGGCCGAGCCATACATCGAGAACAATATTTCATTAAAGTATGACCAAGTACTGCATGTAGGTCATCATCAAACTGCGCGAGGTTCTTGTAATGTTTTCGTTAATATAGTGCAAAATAATAATTGTTCTAGGAAATTTCAAAAAGTATTCTTTTTTCAAAAATCTCTCTATTTATGATCAACTTCAGAAGGCTTTTTGTTATCCCTAAATTTGTGTATAAGTGGAGCTTATTTGTAAATACCCTTTTTGCTACAGTGCTGTCGGAAACTGCTATCATTTATTTGAACAAGACTCAAACTTCCACCTCAACACTCGACTTTTTTCTTTTTTTTGTGTTTTGTTCAGTTTGTGCACTTTGGAGGCGGCAATGTTTTTCTACCATGCTATTTTTACTGCCTCAACGAAACTGTTTGAACTCAAGATTAAAGTGCAAACCAAGAAACTGAGACAAAGCTACTTTTTTCAGCGGAAATGATCAGCAGAGATCATGGGTTCAAAATACGCATCAGAGACAGATTACGTATTATTAGGTTGGCTAAAAATAAGTTTGGTCGCTTTTGCGCTTCTTACAAATGCTGCAGACAGATTTTTATTCCATTTTTGGTATCTCTGAAAATCACTTCAATGGAAGCTGGTGTATAAATTCTGTTTGAGTAGAATTTATCTTTCAAGAAAAAAAATCCGCGAAGAGAAACCCCATTTTTTTATAGTGCGCAAGTATGAGAAAGTTTTTTTTTGACAAAAGATTTTCAAAGTGGCGTATTACACTTTTCATTTTTGATGAATAGGGGAAACTCCTCTTTATCCAAATACCAAGCTGCTATTCTCCACATCCATTGAAGCGTGTAAATGAAGCTTAGGAAATTAAAGAATTGAGCTTTTAGAAATCTAGCCATGTTGAGGCATAAATGTCTTTTCTGATGATAGAAAATCCTGAATAATTGTTATTCAATAGAGGAGGCTTTAAGCTGCTTTCCTACAAGAAGTCGTAGATAGAAAACAACAAGAAAAATTTTTACAAAGATTTACATGTCAAACCGAAATTATTTTTTAGCCAACGTAATAACTCACTAAATGCGTAAGAGATCTACATCAGGTTTAGCGCAAATATAAAGTGTGCAGACGATTATTTGAAGACGACACTGCAACCAACTGCGCCCCTTTTTGCCATTCTGACCCCATGAATTGCAAAAGGAAGTCACGGCGACCACCTTTCATAAATCCGTGTCGGGAGCGTTCGCACCCGATTAGGGCAGAGGTCGCGATCGAAAAAGAAGCAAAAAGAACTGCGGAAGTGCTGCAGGAGTAGCGCAGCGGATCACATTAACTGAGAGCGTTTGAGCCGGTAAGAGGGTGAGAACTGGCTTCGAAGTAAAAGCGAGGGGACCCCACGCTGCCACGCGGTGTGTGCACTGTAGATACGGAATCGGAACTGGTCTCTTGTCACCAACTGCGCTCAGCTGTTTTTTCGCGCCACCGCCCCCCCCCCCCCTTCCTCCAACCCGGCATATGTGTGCGAGTTTCTTCCGTGCTTCCGCACTGACTGCATATATGTATTGCGTAATCGACGAACAACGAACTGGTTACGACCACTATCGGGACCGTGATGGGATGGATATCCGTCGCTCATGGTCTCGACAACGATGTGCCGAGCGTTTTTTGCGCGGTTAAGCACCCACAGAGATCAACAGCGATTTTTATGACTTCCACCAAACACTCACATGTTCCGGGAGTTCTTGCGAGAAAGCAAATCGCGAGAGTCTCAAACATTCTGTTCAAAGTGGAAATTTCACATATTTATATATTTATCTGCTTAGAAAGTGAACAACCACCTGACTCTTTGGAGGAGGAGACAGTGCATTCACAATTGACTGCTAAATCTCATTTTCTCCAAGGAATTAGGCTCTTTTTTGAGGGCCAACGAGCCTACGAAAATACTAAGTGATGCAACCTCAAAAAAGTAGAATTTTCGAAAGGATGAGAAGTGTACAAAAAACAAATAAAAATTTTGTGAAATTGGGGCAGTCGAGCGGATTACCCCTTTTTGACAAAAACAGTCTTTGAATCGAATGTACTCTATCAGCAAAATCTTAGAGGGAACATTTCAGTTAAAAGACTTCACTTGGCAAGTGCAGGTGCATGAGCAGCTAATACACCCTTATCCAAGTGGAATCGCATTTATTTGAGGATTTGTGAAAATTTTGGTCTTTTTGAACTAGGAAGTAACAAGCGTGACTGCAAAAGAGGTACCGCCAACGAAGTGATAGTTGATTTTTTATTGTGCTCGAATTATTTTGCATGATAATACGCTTATGATAATGAGATTATTACAGGCTTAGTTTTTTTCCTCAAATAGGCTAGAGCGGTCAGCCATCAACCCTACATTTCTCACGTTAAAAACATATTTTCCAAAGGGGTTAGGATAGGATTATTTACCTGTTGAAATGTTGATGGCGTACTAAGCGCATATGATTAGTTCAAAGTGTGACAAACTAGGAAAAAAGGCAGCAAGGTCTAAGGCTCAGATTGATCGAAATTCAGAACACGAAGACAAAGCCTATAGAGTTTTTTTAGCGATAAGTATGTCAAGTGAATGATCGATCATGCAAAACTTGTGTAAATAACATCAGCGTTCAGACAAGCAAATTTTATGAGAGAAATGCTTCGAATGAGATAATTAGTGCTACTTTTATACCAGCTAAAAATTGATTTGGTAAAGTTTTCGAAATCAGTTCTGGAAATGAAGAAAATAGTGCTTTTGTAGAGAGATTCATTTTGTAGGACCTTCGTTGCTATCTTTGCAAGAGTTTCTTGAATTAGATTCATAAAGCTTGCACCAAATTGTGCTAAAAAGTCTATTTTTTCAAAAACACAAAAAATTAGCTAAAAAAGACCCATCAGTAAAATTCTGAAGATCGTAAATGCTTGTAGAAACATTAAGGGCGCTATTTTTGAGTCAGAAAAGTAGGAGCATGAAAATTTGAGTACCAAAACTAGGTTTTGTCTGTCGCTCGAGCATTTTAGCAACTAGTACACAAGGAAACGTTTAAGGGTTTCTATAGAACACTTTGCATCGCCATTGTATGCTAACAATTTTTGCCTTAAGCACCGCTTGAGCGCGTGATTTACTCTATACAAAATACACTAGATCAAACCAGCTCATAAAAATGAAAGAAGTATGATTTTTGAAGTTTGAGTGCGCAAGATCCATGGGGACTAAAGAGAACGCAAAGACATACAAGCAAAAGAAAAACAAAAGGTTTTTTGAGGAATTTGCTCAACGTGTGAGAGAAAGCTCTACCGTACATCATCGCAAGTTTTTTTTCTTCAATGCCAAATGAGCGACTGTGAGAAATTCGATGAGAGCGATGTGTGAAGATTATGAATGTAGAACAAACATTGAACAAACACATACACCGGCGAATGCGCAAACATGCGCAAGGCGCAAATTTGGATCTAGACGGTTATCGTCGTGAATGAACTGGGAACAATCCCCTTCGTGAACTGTTTCACATGAAGTACACCAGAAAAATTCGGTCATGTGCACTACACAGCGAATTTCGTCTTTCCACACTTTTCAATAGAATTCTGATGAGTCAACTAGGCAAATCATGGCTTTGCTTTCAGGAATCGCCTTTTCCGTATTGAACACAAGACATTTATCAACACTTTTCGAGAATGATCGGCACTTTTCGCACTTGGCTGATTTTGAAAGGGAAATGACGTACAGGACCGAAATGGTGAGTCAATGGCAGATAGTGGAGGTGGTATCGAACGTCATATACATTCCTTGTTCCAAAAAGTGAATCAATGTAAACGGTAAAAAGAATTTTTCGGCAGATGCTGTGCCTTGAAACGAGAAAAATGCAAAAAAAAAATGGGAAGAACGAGCCTAGGAGAAGAAAAGGATAGGAAAGAAATTAAATGAAAGTACGTATCATTACAGAGTGAATGATTAATTTTATAGATCTGTGCAGTATTACAAAAAAAAACAGCAAAATAAACTCAGCAGCTGAGGTAACTTTGTTCCCCAAATTTTCGAAATCTCTTGCTTTTTTGAACGCCACAAATTTTCAAATGCAGGTCATTTTCAAGAAATAAAATGGTTTGCCAGCGTAAATAGAAGACTTTCTGTAGTCAAAATACCTTTCTAGGGAGAACCGAAGATCTAAGCTCAGGTTCAGCTTTGTAAATGAACTGTCAAGTGTAATCAGGTCCCGTTATGAAAGAGAGAAGCTTCTGGAGGTACGAATGTTTATGTTCACATAGTTTTGTAAATGATATTCCCAAGAGTTTCGCCCGCTTTTGAAGTGGCCGTTTTTTTCTGCATTTTCGCAAAAACGCCTCAAAGGAAGCATTGTCGACATCTCGAGAGAAAAATATCAATACAAACATATACTGGGAAGTATTCAATTGCGCGAAATTTTAAACAAATATTGGTTTATCGATTTTAATATTTCGAGGGACATAGCCGGAGCGCAGTTTTCACCAGAGAATGAGCGACCCTACAAAACACGAAATTCGAAATTTTAGTAAGGAGATAGCAATCTGGCCGTGAAGCTACCCCAATCCTAGAATAAAAAGTGTGCATAGGAGACTTGATTTATACGATCGTAAACTCCACCTCTTAGCGAACGGCAAGTGCCAATTATAGCCGCTGATTATCAAATATAAGTGAATTAACGTTATGGCTACAGTAGGTTCACTTATTATTTGTTTAGGAGGTTAAAGAAAGGAAGGGGAGGAGACGAACCACATTTATACTAATATCAATATATCGATTTCAATATTATGAGGGACGTAGCCGGAGCACAGTTTTTATCAGAGAATGTCTGCGGAGCTGCAAAGTTCTGGAATTCTTCATCTCAAACAATTTCTACTTGAAAGTGATAATCAGAGTATAAATTGTAAAAATAATCATATCTCATACGGAAAATTGAAAAAGCTAAGAAATGCGCTTACATAGTGCATCCGCTTTGCAATATATTGTACGTCTTATTTCAACGATTTTGGCAGTATCGCTTTGATAAGCTACTTGAAATGGTTTTTGCACCAACTATTAGAATTTCTGAAGACTATCCAGACCTTTTAGGCAGCTTCAAAATCTCTCTGGAATTGCCAGGGTAAAAGGCGATAGGCTCTTTGGATTGGCACTTGAGAGCATACGCGCAAAAGTGTCTATCTAGGTTGAGCTGTGGAGGGTTTCATATAAAAATGGTAGAAGGCAGTGTCCAAGGACGGAAGAGCAAAATGTTGGAAAACTATGGCAGTACCAATGAACAAATGGCAGTAATACCTCAAGGGCCAACAATCCCATCAGTTTTATGTGGTACATAGAATGATGCAAAAGTGGTAATTATGGGAATAGGAATGCAAATAGAACACGACTTTTTCTATGTAAGTTCAATGCGTCAATAGAAAGCGAAGGCGTTCTCGAAGAAAAAACCCGTATGAGGCTGTACAATGCTTGAAAATTGCCAGCCATTGTTTCCATGAGTGTGGAAATAGAACGGCAATACTTGTTCGAAGTGTCGGAAGGTTCAGCACAACAAAACCGGATGGCCTTGTACGGTGACAGAGCGTCCGTCCCAGATAGCAAGTTTTTGTCTGGATTGCAAATGCAGCGCCCGGCTGCGATATGTGGGATATTGCGGATTTGCCCATCTTGCAGTCTATGCTAGAGCAAAATGGGAGAATGGGCTGTGCAAGTTCAAGTAACCTTGGGCAGACTTGCCCTTTCCATAAGGAAGAGAGCAAATGTAAACAAAGGCTGAGGAAAAGAGAGGAGAAAAATGTGTTCAAAAGAAACGACAACTGGGCGGAATGGCGCGGTCGCGATGTTTGACGGGAAAACGCACTTTACTAGAAGGGTCACGCAGTCGGGTGCAGAACGTGCAAAGCGGAGCCAATTCAGTAGCAAGAGTCCGACTATAGTATATTTTTCGTTTTTTTATGGATTTCCGGAAGCATAAGTGCTATTACGAAGGCAATTTGAGAGTCAGGCATTTTGCTAACCAAGACGGAAATTCACTAAAAATAAACTGGATAGCTCTGAAAGGCAAAGGCATGCATATTTTCTTTCATAAGAGCAGTGGCGGATATCAGCTATGATTGGGAGTCATGTTTTTTTAGTGTTCTATATGATTTGTCATTTTTAGGAGAATTACTGAAGTTCTCACCGCTCCTATATCAGACGATCTTCCATATAAATTGAAAGTCTGAAATGGGGAAAATTTTCTGAGACAGTTGTAAAAATCAGTGTATTGTAACAAATTTATGTGCAACCTAATGAAATCTGTGATTCTCAGCGCCTGTGGAGCGCGAAACTTTTGCTTGCGCAATACAGATTTCCAGTAATGAGTTAGTATGTTATTAGATTTCCGCATTTGTTCTACTGTCAAGATAAAGCCCCTTGGCTGTGAATATGAAGAAAGGATTCAAAAATTGCATTTACTACCGCACTCATTGGTATAATTCAGACGGTAGTTTCCGCGCTTTACGGATAACGGAAATCACAGGAGTCGGGGAAATTACGAGGACCAAGGAATTCACGAAATTATGGGGAATACAGGAATATTTTGGGCACGCAGATGGAGGAACTGCCAAGCACAACCAATACAAAAGCAAGAGCTTGACCGTGTTACCGTGTGATTTCTGTTGTCCATGGAGCGCGTAATCTTCCGCCTATACAGATAACTCGGTTTGCACCGTAGCTCCTCATTTTGCTTTGCGCTCAAAGTAAATGAGTCTTTTTGACTCTGACTGAAAGAGGATTCGCAAAATTGACTTGTACTGTCAAAAACATCATTATTATTGTGCGGACGGTAGTTTCCGCGCTCCAAGGGCTAGCGGGATCATAAGAATCCCAGGAAACACATATCACAGGAATGGCATTATTTGCAAGAGCTGAGTGAGTCGAAGAATAAAAGGAGACAGTACGTTCGAACTCTCAGGAGTAAATTCACGAAGAAAATGCCCTCTGAACGGATCCAGGCGGCGACTGGCCGCAAAATCGCGCATTTGGCGAGATCTTGGGAACTAGCCAGGCAGGCACACGGACGCGCGGCGCACGAACGTTCATCACTGATAATCGGGCCTGTGGTCGAAAATACGATTCGCATCTCTTCGATGATATCCCACATCTCTTCCCGCCGATAGAGGGCGGATCGATAGCACATCCGATAGCACATGAAAAGCTGGAAGTTTCAGAAACCGACACCAGGCTAAATCTAGCCTGCGTGGAAAAGTCGCGCGATTTGGACGAAGTGCCGTAAAAACTCGCGAAAATCGACAACAATCAATCGCGCTGAAGAGTATTAGTGCATAATAGGCGAGCCTCAGCGCGATCACTTCACTCTTCCCCCCCCCCCCCCCGAAAACTCGCTCGAATAGCGTCAATGATGTTTACAAAACAGGCTCACGATATATACACCGAGATTATCTGGGAGCATATTTCTTATGTATGAAGAGTACAAAAAACCAGCAGATATGTTGTTTTTTAGGGTCTGTACTATTCGTACTACAAAACCATCATCAATGCACCTTCCTTCATCAGCGGCCTGCAAGAAATCACCCACGATAATGTGACTGAATATGGACACACTATCAACACGCTGAAGAGGTTCAACCTGTACCCAGAGGTAAGACAGTTTGCCGTTCGTCAGTTTTTCAGCAATGAGTTGCAATAAGATGAATTTTCAAAATTATGGCACATTAGCTCGGCTTTTCGGGAAGTCATTCTGAAAATATTGAATTATCCAGTCCCCACAAAAAAAAACAAAAAATTCCCCCCAAAATGTGTAACAAAGTTTCGAATTGTAGTAAATAGTTTTTTGTAACATCTAACAAATGTTTTGCTATGTATTCATGGAATTCAAAAGTTTATTTCGAATCAACTCGAAATGTCGAATAACAAAATTCGAATATGATAACTGTTCGTAGATACATGCGACCAGCAAGATTCTCTCAAACGACAGAGTTTGTATCTCGTGAATCACTAGAAATGTCAAATTTTGATTTATGTGGACGTTTTCTCTTATCACCTTGTATCTCCTGATATACTATTATAATATTGATCCTTCAATAAAAGCTGTCCTGAATTTAATCAAAACTTTGGATATGAGAAAATTACACTCTTGATCAAGCGAAACGTCCTATTTTGTCATCTAGAAAAAAGCAGTAGTGTCTTTTGAAAATTCTAACAAATATGTATACGCAAATTATGTAGTACTTTGGATGTCTCTGACTGAGCTGAGGGACTTTATTTGGTGGTAGTCGTAAATGTCTCATTTCTCTCTCATATTAAGATATGCCTAAAGTTTCGCTTGAGTGGGCGGAATTATTGAAATTTTTGTCAAAGAGATGTTTGGAGCAGCGTGTTTTGAAATGACGATTCTACAGATCTTTGGAGCACGCCTTTTCCATTTTGTCGAAGCTCCATGATTTTTTTTCTGAATGATATTGGTTTCTATGGCCATCGCAGTGAAAGATTTGAAGTATAAGAAAGTCAAGGCTGGCAGTCCGAAAAAATTGTTGGGAGGGGAATGGAGGCAAGAATTTTTTCGAGTAAATTTCTCCGAGATTTTTCAAGATGCTTTCCGTATGTTTCGCAAAGCGAACTTGCGAAAACTTTCCCACACCCAAACTGAATTTCATAGGGTCTATATGTTTGGATTCCTGCTCTATACCCTCGGTTCGCTCTGAGGCTGCCCTTAAGTAGGATTTTGCAAAACTTCGAAAATTTTTGGAAAATTTGAAAATGCTGTTTGGGCTTGTTTATCGACTGGCTTACACTGTTTTCATGGCCGAAAAGCGCAAATACTTAATAGCCCCATTTTGTGTCTCCCATCGCCGTCGTGATTCGTTCGAATTGCCAAGCGATTTTTAGGTGATTCTCTCATTCGCTTATCGACAGTTCAAAACACTGACAAATGTCTTCGGATGGAGACTGGAACGATGTTGGACGGTGAACAGAGGAGAACTGGATCCGGTAGACAGCTGTGAAGGTTAGTGGCGAGTTTTTAAACGAATGTTGTTCACATTGCAGTGTCGCAAATCTGAATATCAGAGCTTCTTGTTTTCAAAGTGATTGAAAAGCCTTAGCCTTAGCTGTCGCCCAAGCAGAGGAATGTATGATTCATTGTTAGGGGGGGGGGGAGAGGATATTATTTTGCATCCCAGCTTGAACCATATACTATGAGGACCACCAGCATCTTAAAGTACCGTAGGTCTGCATTGTAAAAGTGGTTCAAGCTTTGAATGTTTTACATGAGCTGACGTTTGAGAATGGCTTGAACAATAACTTTTTCGTATAACAACTCAGGACAGATTCGGCGGACATTGAATCTACCAAACCAAAGCACAGATATTTAGATAATGCGAGTAAAATTGGGAGCAAAACTTATGAGGCTATCAGAGCCACTACCCCTAAAGGAGGAGACGCGTCTTTGTCACATCGATTTGAGAAATTTTTCGTACGAGAAAATATTTGAAAAAAGTTTGTCTAGTTGTGTCTTCTCTCCTGTAGGTGATGTGGGGCACGTGCGTCGTAGATAGGTTTATTGGCCACGAAGAGTACGTACAATTGAAGACGAGCCGCTGGCGATGTCCAAAGGGCAAAAAGTGAAACAAACTCAAGAAATGAAACAATCAACACATTTTACAACATGTCATACTATCCTTGATAAACTGATAACATCGAGTATTTCTTCTTCACACGCCCCTCCTCGAATAGTCACCTCCGGGGACTTGCCCTTGATACCGTCCGCGCTGCTTCATATTTGCGGCTTGCTCCAGGCTCATCTTCATCAGCTCCCAAATGTGCGTAATTTCCAGCTTCGGCAGTCTTCATCTGTTCACACCTCCGTCGTTTCCTTGATCGGCGCCCATTTCTTTCTTCTTCCTGTCCCGTAACTTGAATATCGGTCAATTCGATGCAGCTTCTCGAAGTCCAAGGTGCGTTGTGTAGCTTCGTAATCGCGTCTTCCATTGGTCCATGGTCATCCATCTCCTTGGCGTCGTATTCTGCTAACGCCATGTTGGCTCGCTCCTCGCAAATACCGCATTCGCAAGGATGGAGACAATGTAGCAAGTCCAGCGGCTCTCCGACCTCGACTCTGCAACACGAGACTTCAGAGTTCGAGTTTGTAACTTTTCTAAGTCTACCCCTTCTTGCTTTGCCCTTAGCTGCCCTTTCAAGCTTATTGTCAACATTCTGGGGCTTACTTAGCTGATCCGGAACGCGTTCAGGCTTATCATTCGCCTTTTTCTGCTGCATTGAGGAGCTACTACTTTCACTCAATTCGCTCACTTCAGATGGCCCTGTCCGGACGGTGACCGGCTTAAGGTGTTTTGATGGAGTTTTCTCCGTGGCCCCCTTCATATCCACCCGGTCGCCTGAAGTCAACGGTCTCTCGTTGACTTTGCTGTCTCTGAATGAGAATTTCTGCTTCCGCACCGATTCATTTCTATTTTCCCTTGGTCGCTGAGGAGGACGAGGCACTCTTCTCCTTGGGTTTGATGTGGTCCGCTCTACAACCTTACCGACACGATATATTCTTGGCGCCAATACATTGATGACGGAGCTTCTTACTGCACCATTTGCAGTGTTGCAATGTGAACCTGGAACTGACGCATCGCTAGACCGCAACACTTGTGTCCGTTTGGTCTGCCTCAGCTCCAGTCCTTTGCTTCCGCCAGGTCTACTGTAGACACATGCGGCTACTTTGGCCTGCTGCGATTCCATAGCCTTTTTGGATTTTCTGGCACGCTTATTATGCCGTTCCCTTTGTTGATCTAGTGGTTTCCTTTCGCCTTTGCAGGACTGACCTCCTCTGCGGATCGTATAGCCGAGTGCGTGCAGGATATTTGTCCCCAGCACTACCCTGTTATCTCCTCCTTTTCTAACGAAGAAGGCAGCTCGGCATTGAGTTCTATCAGGTACTTTTAAGGTCAAACGAATGGCACCTTTGAATCTCATCAAATTGCCGGAAGCATCGTAAACTGGTGGATATTCCTGTCGCGGAATGTGTTCCACATCACCATCTATGTCAAATCCTTTTTGCTGTGCTGTCAACAGCAAATCGAGAGGCATAATACTGATCTGTGATCCAGAATCTACCAGTGCTTTCCTTTCCAGGCCAAGAAACTTCACCGTTTCTAGTGTCTGGCTGCCCACTAGATCACTAGCTTTCTTCCGTGCGACAGTACTGCATGCCCAGCGCCGCAGTAAATTGGAAAAAGATCCTGCATCACGTTCATTCGTGGCGTCGCCTCTGCCTCCTTGTGACACCTCCCTCAAACCCCTGGGAGTGTACTGGATGGTTGGGGTTTCCTTGCAGTCCCTTTTAAAATGTCCAGGCTTTTTGCAGTTGTAACAGAGCAATTCTCGGTCTTTTGATCCGTTCTGCTGCATGTTCCGATTGGGATTTTCGTGACCGTCGCGTTCTTGGTGCTCCATTTTCACTAACGTTTGACCCATGTGCTCGCGCCCCTGTGTCGCTTGTTGTCCTCGCGGAAGCCGTTTTGGCTTGCTTGTGGCGTCCTGCTTCAAGCGCAGTGCCACTTCCCTACTCCTTTCTATCCGCTGTGCAAGGGCTTTGAGCTTCTCATAAGCTTCTTCCGCGGGAGTTTGTTCTACCTCTGTAAAGAGTTGAACATATTCCGGCCATTCAGTTAGTTGTGCGATTAGCTCTCCAGTACGCAACATGGAGAGCTCCCTTTCCGCCGATTCTGGATAGGCTGCCCTTGTTAATTGTTCCAACCGCGCACAGTACTCGGAGATAGTCCCGAATGATCGGAGATTCTTGAGGCTAACATATGCCTCCATTCTGTTGGCAGACTCATTTTCTTTGAATTTGGCTTTCAGTGCGGTTACGAAATCATGGAATGTTCCTTCTCGAACATCCATAGGAAGAGTCTCCACTATAACCCGGGGTTGCCCTGCTAGCTTCGAGCATAACAAGTGGATAAGCATTTCATCACTCAAATTCAATCCATCATATTTAACCCTAAAGGAGAGTAAGAACTTTTCGAACCCTTTGCCTTGCGCGTTATCGAATACTGGAACTTCTGGTAGTGCCATCGCAGTAAATGCGGAACACACAACATTTGTCAACCCCATTTCGGTAGTGAGTGTATCATTCCTACCTTGGCAGTTCCTCCATGTCTTGGAAAGGGATCCCGGCAGCTTTGACGGCTCTCTCGCGGGCTGCTCTCTCTGCAAATGGGGAATCATTTGTCTCTGTGGCAAAATATAACGCCTATTTTGTGTTACTGGCGCGTTCCTATCGCGCAGATAATCACCTCTTGCGGCAGCAATTGGGTCGAAATCGGCCAGCTCCAGGTTTTTAGGTACTTCCTTAGAACGCAATTGTTTCAGCGCGTCTTGGAAGTTGCCCACTGTGTTGTCACTCGACTGCGCTTCACCGTGGTCCTGAAGAATATCTATAGTAGTTATTCCTGACCCTTCTCCCCCTATACGCGGCTCTTCTACTTGCGAGTTGTCGATTTCCGACCCGAGGATGCGCTGTATGCTTTCCACCACTTGGGTTGAATCTACCGAAAGAATTTGTGACAGTTTCCTCATCGCACTGTCATCGTACCGCGCTTGTTCTAAGGTTTCAGCTACATTTTTCTCTAGCTGAACCAAATCAACACTTTTGAACCTATTCAAATTCTCAACTAGCTGCTCGATTTTGCCGATTTCTACTTCTAGTCCATTGCAGACACTATCGATTAGAAGAAGGTCGGCGCTGGTGCTTTTAGGGCTTTTCTTATTTTCTGCTTTGCGCGTACCCTTACCTACAAGGCTGCGCATCTTTGCTAAGTATTCGCCCATTTTGGCAGGTAGTACACATACCTGTGACTGCTTTTCTACTAGCTGACGCACTTGTTGCGTCAACCCGACAATCTGCGCTTGAAGGTTCTCGATGCGCTTGCTTTCCTCGTCCATGAGGATCATGGCTTCCATTTCTTCATCAATGGATTCTGCCATACTCTGCAACAGAAAAACTTTAGCCTTTATAGCTGTTTTTCTCTCAGTCGAACGTGCAGGGCTTCTCAACAGCCTCCTGCTTTACTTGCTTATGAAGCTTCCTGCTTCTAGCAAGTTCAATCACGGTGGTGTACAGGTAACCTCTGCCAAGGTTTCTGTACTTGAGTGCGTCTAATGGCTTCCACAGAGAGCTGCGGATCCACCTGCACTTCACCCCACGGTGACTTTCAGGTACCACCTCGACAAGAGGTTCTTGTACCTGTTTGTGAGTGCCGGCTTTCCACAGATGACCTGTGGATCAACCTGCACAAAGCTAGCACGATAATCCACACCACAAACGTAAAAGCGAAATTTCCCCCGACAAGGAACTTCGCACAAGATAGGTACCTGTGTTCAGTTTGTTCGGCCCCCAAGTTGTGTCTTCTCTCCTGTAGGTGATGTGGGGCACGTGCGTCGTAGATAGGTTTATTGGCCACGAAGAGTACGTACAATTGAAGACGAGCCGCTGGCGATGTCCAAAGGGCAAAAAGTGAAACAAACTCAAGAAATGAAACAATCAACACATTTTACAACATGTCATACTATCCTTGATAAACTGATAACATCGAGTATTTCTTCTTCACAGTCTTTTATTTTTTACATATTTCTTCCTACTCAATGAGGTATGCTGATCCTAGCCATAGTGTTCTGACAAATCTTATAACAAACGCTAACGTTTCCATGACGAAGTATCTATTCTTTTACTGTCAGCACAAATTTTTATTTTCAAGCAGAAAGCAAATTCTATTCGACTTGCTTTTTAGGTATAGGCAATCCGCACTACTTTTACATCGATCATGTGTTTGCATTGGCCGGCACCACAGCAGGATGGATTTTTGTGCTGGGCATACTTGTCAGGTAATTGAAATGTTCATGAATTTCTTTGCCTTTAGCATCTTCCTATTTGAGCAGCGTATGTTCTCGTCGTCTGTGGGAATTTGTAAAGTTTACCTTTTCAAGAAATAAGATCTACTTTATAACCCAGTCATTTCTTCGTAAGCCTATGTAAATATTTAGTGAAATCCAAACTTTTTGTTCCATGGTTTACTACAGTTGTGGCCGTGGAATTTGTCCAAAATTGCGGGATTTTCGGGATTCGCGGGATGTTCGGGATTCGCGATGTTTGCGGGATTCGCGACTTCACGGGATTTGCGGGATTCGCGGGATTTGCGGTACTAGCGGGATTTAGCTATAACTTCTTTTAAATTCACATTATTTGCAATCTGCGTGCAGATTTGGCTTCAGCTTGATGAGACGAATCGTTTGATATACAGTATGTCCGTAATTCGTGGTGAGGGGGCAGACTTACAATGATACCTTGTTGTTCTCTATGTTAAGGCTTTTGTGAACATTTATCACAGCGTAAGTCACGAATAGCAGGTTCTGGTACTAAGTTTTCATTATCGGAAACTATCGGAAAAATTGGGCAGTTTTTATTTACCCTTATCACTGATATAAGCATTTTATCATTTATCACTGATAATATCACATTTTTGGATCATTTTTTGCATATGGTAAGGAAAGTACTGTAGGAAAAGCTGTGTGAATTTCTATCGCTCTTTCTCTCATTATAAGTGATCTGCAGGCTTTTCTAGTTCTATCTATTGCTCGGTGCAATTGGTAGATCCCTCGCTGCAGCAATCGATCGATTTTTCATCGGCACATGCCATTGCTGCCAATTCTTACCTAGAATGGCATTTTTGCTTCAACTCGCTTCACGCCGAAGCCTGGGCTGGAATTCTGCACCTATATGGAAGATGAACGTGGAAATCGACCGCATGAATTTGAGCCATTCTTATCTGTCGTTGTCATTGATATCATCATTTTATCATTTATCACTGACGACACAAAATTGGATCATTTTTGATATACAATAAGAAATGTACTTTAGAAAACGCTGTGTGAGTTATCGCTCTATCTCTTATAGCACAAAACCACTCACAGAACATGCAAAATTTCCGGGAATTCCGCGAAATTCATGTGAATCACGCAAATTACGCAGGGCCATAACTTCTTTCCGAATGAGTATGTTCAAAATCCGAAAACAACATTGTATTCAGCTCTTCTATCTCTTTTGAAAGAAAGCCTTCGGCTGCTGTTTAGCGCACGATAATCCAGTGAAAGAGTACTATCGAACGGTGCCATGTGTAACGCAATGCGA